AACTAGAGCAGAAACGGTGGCGTCGATACGCATATTCATCCAGCTATCGTATTCCGGCACTTTCTCCGGGTAAGTGCCCCAAGCCTCATTGACCATTTTTGCTTCGGGAGGAAATATATTTTCCGCATTGAATTTTAATATGTCCTGAAGAAAGTTATTTTGCGAAAAGAGGAAACAGACAACGAATGCAGAGTAAGTGGAAAGATTAAGGTTCACAACACAAACATTCAGTTATCGGCTTCTTCCAGCAGCTTATCGTGGTCATCAAACGAAAATTTGTTGGTCGAAACAGTCTAGTGTAGGCCGAAACTAGCTGAATTTGCATTACAAGTATGTCTCTTTGAGAATAATCAACTAAATTTGGTAAGCCCGTTTTCCAACTTCCTCATTCCTCCTTTGCCTACTGTATACTTCCAGTTTATTGGGAGCTAAGGTAATCTATTGATTCGTTTTATATAGCAATCGCAAAACATATTTGCGAACTGACGACTGGTAATCCAAGTCCGCCTGGACACATGTTTAACTAAGGAGCAGCAACAGATGACAGCTTAATCGTCAATTATTAACTTGCACAGCCATTAGAAAGCGATTAGGTGTTCTTTTGCTTCTCAAGGAAATACATATAGAAGTGCTTCTTCAAGACGATGACAAATGGACAAAACCGAAACAATGGCTTCTTTTGGGCTTAATAATTCCATTTAAGGTTCGATATGCAGGCTGAGATTTTGCTAACCAAATTGGGTGCAACTCCATAACAGCAGCAGAGAAGAATAGTATACCGAGATCCTGACACAAGTAAATATGATAATTTCGTGGCGGATCAGTCAAGGCAGAAAAACAGACACTGAGTTCGTTATCTATGACTAATAAAGAATTGCGAGTAGGCGATGGTGGGCAGTCCATAGTCGTTGTAATAAGCAAAACAATAATCTACTTTGGTGGATTCCAAGATGATCCTACTTCGAACGAACAAACAAGGTCCAATCTTTAGTCGCGTGATTATTGCATGGAGGTCTGCTACTAATGTTTCAATGGACTTGTTTAATAACCCAAGCACTGGGATGATCTAGGAGAAATTAATTCTCCAGGACAATAACCTACGAGGATCTGATTATCTGACAGCCAACTTGCTTGTGCTTAGTATGACTATGACAATCTAGCTTTCTCGTGATAAAACAATGTTTTATTGAAAAGTCTTAAGGCGATTCGAACGCATTTAAGTTACCTGACGATATATGTCCATCTGTATGCCCATTTCAAACGCGGCCAATCGTAGTTCCTCCAAACCGGGAATGAAGCGCCTATCCAGTTCGACAACGGCCAGGTGCTTTGGTCGACAAGACAGTATCGCTCGGGTGAGCCCACCCGGACCGGGACCAACCTCTAATACATAGGCATCGCGTAGACTGCCGGCCCGTTTCACAAAGCCATTTAAAGAGGCCGGCTGAAGAAGGAAATTTTGTGCCAGTTGTTTTTGTGCTCGAAGACCATAGATGCGCAACACTTCCCTCAAAGAGGGAAGTGGTGGTAGGTGGAACGACTACAACGAATACAAGAAAAACACCGACAACAGTCAACTGTGTTCTATATGTGCGCTACAGTTTTCACACATGTATGAGTTCAAAGTACGAGAACCTTTATAAAAAGAGAATGTTCCGTGATCTGCTAGCGGGTATGATAATCCCAGGTTATCTAGGCCGAGAAAGGTAATTTTTCTAGGGTAATTTACAACTGGGGCCTTCAACTAACCCAACCCTTACCCGCAAGGACGTGGGGCGGTGTGAAAACCGTGTTCTAGGGTAAAAGCACTGATGTGATCGTCTGTCAGAAAACAGTCAGGTGTGAGCAATGTACCAATAAAAAAACCGAGGAGATGAAGAAAAGATCACCAAGGTAGTAAACGCATCATATTTGTTTCGGAGAAAACGTGCTACTTTTTGCACCAAATGTTCACTAAAACTCATGTCTAGAGCATTAATCATTAGGTCTATTCTAACATTTACACCTCTGGTTTTCATGCATTCTCCAGAGTATCTAACAGACGGAGTCTGGTACCCAACAAGAAGACAGAAGGAACTATCGTGCAATATAGAGACTTAGCGGATGATAAGTAATATACCAGCCTGATCAGAACTGAAATCAAACGCCTCTCTGTGTCGTACAACTCCCAGCTTCTGCAATTTGACAATAGTAAGCAAATCTGGTAAGGTGACAAATGGCTGTGTGGGACCGTGCCGACAGATTTGGACAGTATTAACACAGCATCTATCCGCCCATCACAACATTTGTTCTGGATGATGTCCTTTAAGTAGAAGCCGTTTCAAAAGAAGAACTTTCGAGCTTTTGAGTACCATTAAAATCACATCCACAGTTTTTCCGGATAGTCTGTCATTTTCCCTTCTGAGAAAAGGAGCCTATTCTCTTAGTGAAATATAAGCATCATTAACAAACACTTCCTGCTACATACCATATTGTTGGAAACCGGTAACAATTGTTCCTATTCCCAAATCCCCTACTTTAACCGTTCTAAACAAACGATTCCATGTTATCGCTTCAACTTCGGTTGGTCTCAAACTAGCAGAACGTATTGTCCTTGCGAGCATTCAGTCCTCACTTGATGTCCTGTACGATCCCCTTCAGTTTGCTTATGAATCAAACAGATGCAAGCTAAATGCAATTTCCTCACTTGTACTTAAATTACCAAATCCTTGAATCACTCTGCGAGATGTTTTTTGTGTTTTGCTGAAGCACTCAACTACTTTTGATACCAATCCTGTTCTTCGTAAACTGGAAACTTTTCGTCGAAACAGGCAGCTATTATATTGTTGAACTTTCCTAATCTCGGCTAACTGCATTGCGTCTTGAATGTATGTCCAGTGTTGATCTAAACTTCTTGATGGGATAGCAGTTATCCTCGTTTTAATAGTTATCGAATACTACCGGCTTAGAAAGTTTGGCAACCTCAAGGCGATTGCATCTCACATTTCGCGGCCACCAAATCGTATAGACAACTTTGCAGAAGCCAGTGTTTGGTTAGATTCCAAGCAGATAGACCGATACGATTAGGGTTTTTCAAACACCCTGTCCATCTATAGCTAATAGCTATATGATCAATCAGGGTCCACATCTGTGCCGAAGAGGGGTTACGCCAAGTGGCAAGGCGGCGCTTTGGGTGCCCGAGGAACAGATTGTATTCTTAGCATATGCTGAGAAGTAAATCCCCATTATCCGAAAGACAGCTATCAAGGCCAGAATGGCCGTAAAGATGGGTCTCATTGGACGACAGACGACCTACGCGTGCATTTAGGTCTCTGACCAGAATCACGATATCCATTTTGGGAGTTATAAGAAGCTCATGTAAGCTGTGACAGAAGGCGTTGTGATTGCATCCGGGCTACGGTCTGTGGGGCGTATGCAGAAACCATGAATCAGCACCGTGAAAGTGAAGTCCGAAGGATAGTCAGTCAAATCAATCAATATCAATTATCCCACACACGCTACTCACAAGTAACTGTGAGTCAAACGCGAAGAAATGTTATCTGTCGGATGAAGGGGCAAATGGAGAGG